AGGGGCATTATGAGTCGGAATTGATTCGATGACTCTGAAGAACAACTGAGTAGAATTGACCTTTCTATTAGCAGTTGAGCGTGTGGGCCATTTGCGCCACCAGGCAACTCTGGACACATCATAAACCCACTGTTGTCGAGTTGATTCTGACTCAGGGGCTGAATAGGACAGAGTAGAGTTGCCTCATAGGGCTTCCAAGGCTGTGGAACTTTACAGAAGCAGGCTGCCACATCTTTCTCTTGCGGAGCCACAGGTGGGTTTGAACTACTGACCTGGCAGCTGAGTGCTTAACCATTGTGCCACGAGGACTTTGTAGGCACATCATCATAGATGCTCATTAAATAGGAAGAAGTGCCTAGCATGGAGAGGAAAGAGAGGAGCAGAGGAGACTGGGCTTCCAGCTGTTCTGAGCACTGGCATCCTCATCTGTAAAGAGGGGTGCAGAGCTTTGTCCTGTTGCCTCACAGGCTGGTGTGGACTTTCTCTGGAGGACCAGGATGTGAAAACTCCAAAGTGATTTAGGAATGTGAACATTGTGCTGAACAACTTTTGAATCGTGTTAGAAAGAAGCAGCCCACAGGGTGAAAACCAAGATGCAGCGGATCCGTGAAGACTTCTGCATCTAGAGGCCAGGGGACCTTAGGAAGCAGAGACTCTGGCTTTCCTTGTACCTTTTGTAGGTGGCACTTGGTCCAATCTGGGAGACCAAAGAAGTTCTCTGGAGAGTCTGCTGGAGGAGCTGGGAGGACAGAAGCAACCTAATCAGCATGAGGAAAAGTCTGGGGGTGGGGTGAGGAGGCACAGAGCATATGTGACTATAAGCAAGTAAGTGACCCTAGAGGGTAAAATGCAATGGAGTTGGAGGGATGTGGGGTCAGAGACAGGACAGAGACATGCAGGGGTCCTTTGAAGCTCTGACTGTAGCCTGGCTGTGAGGGGCAGTGACTGGACAGACCTACATCTCAGACGGATGCCTGCAAGACTGGAATCCTGCTGCCTGAAGAAGGAAAAGAGAGGTAGAGGCAGGCTCGGGGGCTAATCTCAAGGTCAGTGGTTCGAAACTACCAGCTGCTCCGTGGGCGAAAGATGAGGCTTTCTATTCCTGTAAAGATGGACAGCCTTGGAAACCCTGTGCAGGGTCGCTATGAGTTGGGACCGACTTCACGGCACATAACCAACCAATCACCACCACCACCACCAAAGCTGACTGAGGATGTGGCCCAGTGGGAACGCTGAGAAGGGATCCAAGAAGTTGAGCAAGATTTGTTGGGCCGAAGAGGAGAGTATGCTCGGTTCACTTTGGAACACACTGACTTTGAAGTCTTTAAACCCTCAGCTACACAGGCCAAGGCAGTGGTGAATATGTGATTTGGAGTTCACAGCCAAGAGATGATAGCTCAAATAATGAGAAGGGATCAGACTTCTCCAAGGGAAAATGCAGAGAGATCAAATTAATGATCTAAGGACAAAAATCCCATGGAATGCTAAGTCGTGAGGTCTTGGCAGAGGAAACAAACAAATAACAAAACCCCAAACCCCAAACCCCCACCACTGAGTCTATTCTGACTCCCACTGACCTCGGGTGTTATAGAATAGAACTGAACTTCATAAGAGTTCCTTGATGGTTGGGCTGCTAACCACAAGGTCAGAGGTTCAAACTCACCAGCCACTTCTTAGGAGAAAGATGAGGCAGTCTGCTCCCATAAAGATCTACAGTCTTGGAAACCCTGTACTGGGTCGCTGAGTCAGAATTGACATGACAGTGGGTTTGGTTTGGTTAGTAGTTTATCGCAAACTGCTTGACCCATCCAGGAATCTGAAAGGTCTGAGAGTCGAGAGTCTGCTCTTACAGAATTAGTACTCCTAATTTTGGGGTTTCTGGAAGCAGTATCTGGGCAGGAGTCACCCTTGTCACCAAAGGGTCTAATAAGGTAAAGCCCGAGGGTGTGACTGGAACAGCTATAGAGGCATGGAGCGAACACAAACCAAATTGCAGTAGGTTAATATGAAAATTGGAGTCCTGGTGTGGGCCCTGTGGACTAATGTGCCAGACTGCAAAGCCGTTTGAACTGCAAGGTCGGTGGTTCAAGCTCACCAGCTGCTCCTTGGAAACCCTATACAGGGTCACTATGGGTCGGAATTGACTTGACGGCACGTCACAACAATAAAAATTATGAAAATTAACCTACTTAACAACAACAACAATATGAAAATGGGGACAGAGAGCAGGGAATAGTCAAGAGAAATAGGGGTGTAGGATCAAGACACCTTAGGAAGGCAGTGACTTGAACATGCTTCAGGGCTGAGCAGGAGTTGCTGGTGGAGACAGAGCAGGAAAAGGCATGTTGTTGTTGTGAAGTGGTGTTGAGTCGGTTCCGACCCATAGTGACCCTGTATAGGGTTTCTGAGGAGCAGCTGGTGAGTTTGAACTGCCAATCTTGTGGTTTAATCTGACATTGCAGTTGAAAGCTCATCCTACAGCGCCACACCAGGAGGAAACAATCAACGGCAGAGGTGCCTGGGTAGTTCTGTGGTGGTGGTGTGGAGGGGAGGGTGGAAGGGCAGAGCGGGTCAAGAGCAAAGGTTGGCCAGGACCTGTAGGTGGAAACACTGCATCTCCTCAAGAATGGAGAGAGGAAGGGACTTGATATTAATGTGAATGTCTGTGTCAGTAGTGTGTTGAAGTGACCACCTCCATTTCCTCATGAATAGGAGAGTCTTTTGCTGAGAGTGAGTGTGTGTGAGGAGTGGTCTTGAGAACTGTGAAGGTGGGGAGGAGGGAGATGGGAGAGGAGGGCATTGAGGATGCGGGCATCTCGAGGTTGGATGAGGAAGAACTCAGTAGCATCAATGTACAAAGTTGTGTCCTGCTGGCTAGCGGTGTTCAGTAGCCTGGTGAAATGGACAGGGTGGCTTGTGAGAAGGAAGTAAGAAAAAACTCAGATGGAGAGCTTAACAGTCTCTTCAGCCAGTTCTCAGACTCGGGTAACAGACCCAAATAAAGGAGCTATGAAGCTCACAGGAACAATTTTTCTCCCCCAGAGCACACTGTAGGCTGAAAGCATCATAGTGACCCCCTTCCGGGAGTGACTACAGCTTTCTCAACTGAGAAACCATGTTCTCTAAAATCTTACACATCTGTAATTTTGTGTTTGAAATGATACAAGGAGAAGAGAGCGCTGAAGATCTAGTTACTTTGAAACAGAGATGCAACATCCATTACTAAGGCAGGTGTGAAAGGTCAGCTTAGGGGTTTCTAGACACCACAGTCTGGATCTGTCTTACCTTTGGAGTGTTCAAGGAAACAGGACTCTGGGCCCACTGTGTAGTACAGAACCGACAGAATCCCTGACACTTATCCCTGCTTTACTTTGGCAGTAGTGGTAGTTATGTGCCACGGAGTCGGTTTAGACTCATAGTGACCCTACATAGGGTTTCTGAGGCTGTAAATCTTTACGGGAGCAGAAAGCCTCATAGTCCTCCCGTGGAACCACTGGTAGCTTCAAACTGCTGAACCTGAGATTAGCACTATGCTACCAGAGCTTCTTGAGTCCATCAAAATAGAACTTTATTTAAATTTCACTTAAATTCTACCCTTCTGCCAAATGCTATGATAACTTTGTTTGGAGAGACAGTGTTGTTCCTCTGGTGTGTGTTGTCCCTTGTTAGCATGATTCAATAAGCCCGACTTTGTTGGACTAAAGGTTCATCCCTGGTGGGATAAAATAGTGGGGTGAATGCAGGATTAAGATTTTACTGGGGGAGTATGAAAGGAAGTTGTGTAGATGAATAATAAATTAACTAACTAATTAACGAACACTCCAAGCTCCCCAAACATGGTGTTCCTCAAATTCTGACATTTGAGGATGAGTTTCAACCTAAATTTACACATTTATGTAAATCTTCTACAACTTTGACTTGTACCTAGAATTTTAGATCTGGAAATGTGTGAGTGGATTCTGTTATTATTAAAGAACATACATGCATGCCAATGTTCAGTACAGTACTGTTACAGCAACCCAAAGGATGAAACAACTTAAATATCCATCAATAGATGAATGGATAAACAAAATATGGTACATACATACCACAGAATATCATCCAATCATAAAGAGAAATGATGTCCCAGTACATGCTATGGCATGCTGGACCAACAACCAAAGGACAGATCTATCCAAGCTAGACACAAAAGCACAAATATTGTATGAATCCACTGAAATAGGCAACTGTACAGAGACCAACACTTATTAGTGGCTACTGAGAGTGGAATGGAGTCCTGGTGTGGCGCTGTGGGCTAATGTGTCAGACTGCAAATCCGTTTGAACTGCAAGGTTGGCGGTTCAAGCTCACCAGCTGCTCCTTGGAATCCCTATACAGGGTCGCTATGGGTTGGAATCGACTTGACAGCACTTAACAACAACAACTGAGAGTGGAAAGGAGGAGGGGAAAGGAGTCATTGGAGCACTGGGTTTTGGCTACTAACCGGTAGAATAATTTGGAAATGGTTAGTGTTGATGGCTGTACAACATGGTGCATATATCCGGTATTACAGGAATTGTACATGTAAGAAGCGTTCCATTGGCAACTGTCTTGCTACATGTATTTTACCGCAATAAAACCTAACACTGACAGGAAGTGTTGTTACATGGAGCGGTAGCCATCATTGAGCTGAAACAAAGTGTCTGAATTGGTTGAATGTAAAACTGATGATCTCTGTGAACCTTCAGTAGATCCACAATAAAAAAGTTTCTTACACATAACTAATAACCGAAACAACAACAACAAACTATGAGGGGGCGTCACGTTTGTGAGAAAATGCCATTATCTTCCAATTCCATCTGCCCACAAACTTTCTGAAGTCCCCTTGTATATCTGGGACCTGAGTCACTCTGTCGAGTCCTCTCATGTCAAGCTCATGGAGATGAGGGTCTTCCATGCCCCTGGGGAACCCGCATGTTTAGGGGACCTGCAGGGCCCTCCTGTGCCACACACCAGCTCACCTTTCCCGCAGGTTGTTGAGCATTCTGTGGTCCCAAGCTGCTTCCAGTTGTGATCCCGGCTTCTCCGGGGGGGCTGTGGTGCTGGTGGCACTGAATTGTCTGGTCGATGGGAAAGAAACCTATCTGGCTGCCTGACTGGGAAGGTCTGGACTGATTCCGAGGTGAATATTTCAGGTGTCTCACTGTGCACACTTTCCTTCTCCTCGCTTCTCTCGTCCTCTTCCCCCTCGTCCTGGCTCCTACCTTCTGGTGCCAGCTGGCCATTGAAGGGTTGCCCTAGGTGGAGGCAACGACAGGGACACAGGTAATCAAGATCAGCGTGGATACTGAGCTGTAAAGGGGAAACTGTTTCAAAATGGAAAATTCTGTAGCAGGGAGAGACCATTTCTAATTTGCAGCAAATAAAAACGCATACTTAAAATAAGCAGACATTGACTTCCTTAATATTCAAAACGTGATTAAAATCATTAAGAAAAAAGGTGATTGATAGTCTCAATAGAAAGAGTAGACAAAAGAGAGGCAGCTCATGTGTAAACAAACACAAACAGGTAAAAGTCATCAAAGGAATGTACAACATCACTCATAAAGAGCTACATATAAAAACAAACAATAAAGACTAGAATGTTTGAAAACCCAGACATTTCTAAATCCCTTCTTGAAGGCCCAAGGGAACAAACTCTCATACATTGTAGATGACTTGCAAATA